TATTTTCTAGTTGCTCTGAGTGCATTTCCCAGGAGTTGTTAAGTACATGGCACAATTAGGTAAACTTGCCAGTATCTGCTCCGTCACCCTTCGAAAGGTGACTGGGGCATTACAGAGTTCAATTGTCATGAATCGACACTGCAGGGAAGGAATGGGGACATGGCATCTGGCATTTCAGTGGTAGTCTAAACATGTGTTGTATAAAATCTGTGTCATTTCCTCGCATTTATATTCATTTTCCCAGCATGACCAACTTTCAGTAAATAAACAAAGTGACTCTTTGACACCTCGAGAGGGCTTGAGGGAATCAGGGCCATACTGCCGATCCTGTGAAAGCGAGAGGGTGTGGTGATTCTGTGAGAGCAAGTGTGAGCACTGAGGAACATGTTTCTCACACTGTAATGAAAAAAACAGTGAAAATATGGGACAAAGGAGGGCCCAGCTGTATAAAACCAGTGGATACAGGATGAGTGCCTCAAATATGGGACAGTCCTGCAAAATCCAAAAGATTTGGTCATCCTGTTATGTACATAGGTTAGATTACCATTAGGTTTTGTTATGATCAGGAAACTGCAAAAATGAAAATACTTGTTCCCACAGAGCAGTCCTCTTCCACAATGGAAATCCAAGACACTAAAGGTCCCTCATATAATGTAATAGGACAACTACCTCAGAGACCTGGGAAGAGTTCCTCTGTGAAGTAAATTTGGAAGATTAAGATTCGTCCAGAAAAAGTAATGGATCAACTACTGTGTTTAGAAAGAACAATATTGTCCACAAAGGTCTTCCTAGAGATACAAGATCCTCCAGCAGAGTAACAATTTACAGACGAGTCAAAATCAAAATCAAAGCCTACAGTCCTTAAGCATAAGATCTACAAAACTTCCTAGTCTGAACAGAATGCAGTCTAGAAGAATTATTAAACCTTGAAACTGTCTGAATTTCTACAAGTCAAAAGTTTGGGAAACTTGGAGTAGTGATAAATGCAAATTTAGTTAGATGTCAAATGTACAAGTGTTAACTATGGAGAGAAGTAAAACTTGGGGGTAGATCTTGTGTAAGGTAATGTTTCTAAAAGAGTTAATATTTTCGAAAGGATTGATGTTGGAGACTGCATTATGCTCCACTCAATTCAATGATGTCATACAGTTTTGAGTGAGGAAATGGGGAGTCTCAGTCAAGTTCCTCATGTAGACACAGATGTGTCACTAGTGGCTCTTGATTGGCTACTTTATCCTCTTGTGGCAAAATAGTATTGTCCCTACCTCTGAAGCAGGACGTCTGGGTACAAATCCCTCATGCTGCAGAGTTATGTGATAGCTTCATCGCACAGGTTGCTTAGAAGAAAAATGAGACAGTGTAACTTGTACCTATCGCAATCATGCAATAAATTACACTTGTCAAGAGAATTGCCTCTTTAGACTCTTGATAAATGGTTCAACCTCTCCCACTGTTAACCAAATAAGTCCTTAGACTCAGTCGGCAAAGGAAAATTGTGACAGCACTCTGCCCCAGCCAGAATTTGGAAGTAATTGCTTCTGCAGCACATATACCAATCTTTGTCTGACACCTTAAGCTGAAGCTCTGTTAATAAGGGTAGGGCAGTTGCCGCAGTCCTGGTCAATCGTTCCTCAACTGACACCACCAAAAGATGTGAACAAACCGGCTGCTGTCTTCGTTCAGCTAACAGTGACCACAATTTAAAAGTAGTCCATTAACTGTGCAGGACTTGGGACAACCCGAGAATGTGTAATTTGCTGAATAAATATAAATTCTCTCTTTATTTGGACATGCATTCAAAGAAACAGGTGCCCCATCCTTCAAAACTGTTGCTTCCATTGGTCTCCATGAAAACTATTCCAGCATTTGCACTAAAAGGCAATTTTTAAAGCTTTCATCGAGATACCGCTTAGTATTCTCAGAGATAACGATCTGAATGCCTGCCCATTTAGAACTTTAAATCCTTGTCACTTATTACATTATAAAACAAAACACAAAAGAAAACATCGACACAAAGTTCAGAATGAATGATACATGAACATTTATTTAATGTTTCTTTTGAACTAAAATTAATCAGTGAAGACATTTGCAGACAGGTTACAGGCAGACCTCGAGACAGCTTGTTTGCGATCCTTGCTAGGGGTGCAAGATTATTCCACAAATCAACAGTTGTAAATGCTGAGGCCAAGCTAGAAACAGTAGGCTGCATAATGATTTAGAATTTGAGAAATAGTAAAAATATTTTCATATATAAAATCATTTGATTATGTTGGCAGATGTACATGGCTTTTAGTACAACAGTTGGATAGATCATTTCAGGTGACCTAATCAAAACTTACAAATCTCAGAAATTGTAGCAGAGGCCTTCTGACTCTGGATTATAAATGAGTAAAGTAATTTAGCCTGTGCTGTAATTTCTCAGCTTGCTAAGGATAGTTAGCTCACACTGGATGTATTACTGAGACTAATTCTTGAAGCAGCAGTATTAATAGATACAATATTACTTTTGGCATTAGTCATCTTCTTACTAAAATGACAATGTTGTTGTTGTGACTTATATGATTAAATTAATGAGACACTTCTCATCATTATTGTGTAAAGCTAATTTTGCAACTTAACACGGGAATACAAATAATAGGACTTTATCAGCAGACATACATCAGTATGTCACAGCAAATTGTTTCTGAGATTGCAAGCCTCCAGTGCTTCAAATGGGAACAGCTAGTTTACGACTCAAGTAGTACTGTAAATGTTGGGAATGACAAAAACAGGGTTTATTCCAACCCAATATACTCTTGCCCGGATAAACAGTCAACTTAAACAGTACAATTACCAGATTGTAATTCCTTCAGTTCTTGCTGCAGTTATTCAAGGAGATTTCAGTTATTAACCAGTTAATGGTGTGTGCTGGCATGTGATGATTGCTGTCTGATCCTGTTGAGTTCTGGGAGTTCTTTCTCATATGGCAGTTACTATGGAAAAAGTTATGTCCTATTTGCTTCGTGAAGTGAAAGTCTCTGCATTAAGATAAGCTCCTGCTTCGATAAGCCATGTTCCACGATATTAACTTTTCTGGAATGAGCAGCACTGAGACCCAGCAATGGCTTCCCTCCAAGATGGGTATTTTAAAAATAGACAAATGCAGTCAAATTAATGAATCACAAGATTATCTTTTCTTTTCAACTGAAACTGGAAAGATAGCATTGTTTCCAGGTTCAGGTTCACTGTTATCCTTAAATAGACCATTAAGTGAACGTTTTCACGTCCATTAGTCTTCAACCATCATACCAACAAAAGCATCATAAATTGATTAGAAAGCAGATTAAAAGAAAATAATCTTAAGCAGTGTAAGTTGTACACTTAAAACTGAGAATACATGAAAGATTGATAAACATCATCGTTCTTTAAGGAATTAACATGTGTTGGATTTACAGCTTCAGATAATAAACTCTGATAAGGCCCAGAGAGTTCATCAGCTATTAGCAGCTTTCCAGGGATGAAACAAGCTTTTCTGAGATCAAATACATGAGATTGCTTTTCATGAGATTAATTTTTCACGACAGATAGCTCAACTAGGTTTAAGATTGAATTTGTTCTTTGAGTGGCCTTACAAATAAAAACAGGCACATATATGACGCTTAAGTGGGCTAACATTGTACCCTGTTTGTCTACTCAAATTCTAGATTAAACATAAGATACAAGATAAACAATCCGTGCTAGTGAATGCAAGACATGTTGGACAAACAGCATCAAGTTTGACAGTCATGCCATGTCCTAGAGGAGCCCTAAGTTTAAGACGCACACTTGGTAAACATCGTGGGTGGAGTATGAAGCAGCTGTATGCATCATAACTCATGTTCTTGCATTCAGTAGCTGCAGCTACAAAGATAGGTGAAGAGACTTAGCTGAACTGAAATCCTGTTACATGACATATTTCAATTACTATTTAGTTCAAGTTAGGATCTTCTAATTCATTTTTGGTCCATTTATTTTGAACATGTACTTGGTGATTCTGTATTATTCAAGGCACTTCTCCTAAATGAGAACATGATTATATTTGAATCATCCATATCAAAAATTGTTCAATGCAGACACACATCCCGTTTTTGTGTGCAAATTTTAATTATTCACAGAAATTTAAAATTATGTTGGCAGACTTATGATTATTAATTAATTCAAAGACTGGGGAGCAAAAATATTTTAGCTTTTTAAACCAAGAATCATTAAACCAACAAAATGATCACTGTGATCCATATGTTTTAAATGATTCCTGAGAATGTTTCTGTTGATTTTTCTTTATATTTTGGAGATAGTAAAATTAACTTTCAGAATCAACACTAAGGCCTGATTTGTTGCTAATGCACCACCTGCAGTGGAATCCTTAAATAACTGCTATATCTCCAAGTTCAGTAAAAAGAATGTTCACAATTCATAAATTGAACGTGTAGGAATATTTAGTATAAAGTGACTTTAAATATTTAAACTTGTATGATTTTTCCATTGATTTACATGAAATTGTTTAAGTTTAAAGGTGAGATTTAACATTAAAAATGAGGAGGACAGGATGGTCTTTTAACATTCAAAGTTATCAGACCAGTTTCTTCCTGTGATACAAACAAAAGGGGGGCTTTAACATCTGCTAGCAGCAGAAGTTACAACTGGATTTGTAGAAAGTTTAATCATGACTTGTGAGCCATGGTTTGGAACTGTGTTTCTGTGGTAGAGCCAAATAATGACTTTTTTAAATTGCTTCGTATGAACAGAATGTCCATGAGATTGCACCTGTACTCAAATATAATATGCTCTCTTATACATGTGGCACTCACACATGTACAATGATTTCCTTAAGATAATAAGGTGTAGAGCTGGATGAACACAGCAGGCCAAGCAGCATCAGAGGAGCAGGAAGGCTGACATTTCGGGCCTAGACCCTTCTTCAGAAAAGAAATTGGCCTACTGTGTTCATCCAGCTCTACACCTTGTTATCTCAGATTCTCCAGCATCTGCAGTTCCTACTATCTCCGAAACAATTTTAAGCCCACTGTGAAGCCTCTTCTAAGGATGCCTACAATGATTCCCTTGTCTATTTCCTTACAGAATTCTTAAAATAACCTAATAATATTTATTGTACCACGTGTCAATTTGGGAAAGGAATACAGGTTTATCTTCTTTCGAACAAACATATACATTTTCTGATAGGAAAGTTAATTTCTTTCCTAACACTTAAAGTGAATGCTTCACACAAATAGATCTGATTTCAGTCACCATGTTCCTAGTTGGGTTTGTGAAGTTGGAAGGCATAACGTAGACACTCCGTTCACTCCTCAGATCCTCCTTCACAGGATTAGTGACCTGAATCAATAGGTAAAGGTCGTCTGCTGATCTCTGAAAATGTGTCTAGGACAAAATGAACTGGAAAAGTCTTAAGGGTGCCAGAAATATTTTCTTTAAACAACACAATCGCTGAAATGATTTGAATCTTCGCTGGAATTTTGACATTTTCTATCAGATTTTAAATCATTCATTGCTGTAGAGCATTCCTAATTAGCATTTCTAAAATGGCCTGTAAGTGTTGCTAAAAATGAATAATGTCAATAAGGTGACTTTATGTTAAAGGGACCATCTTCATCGAAACGATGCTTGATAAATGTTACTGGCTGTTTGATGAATATAATGTGAGGGTATAATTTTCAAAAGGTAATGCTGCACTCCAAAACTTTTCATGAATGGTCTGAGTATTAAATCATTACAACTTCAATGATTTAATTTCTTGGTTTAACGCCCTTTCAAGGCTTTTCACTCACCTCTCCCTCCCAAAACTATAATTAAAACCTTCTGTAGTGCCTACTTAAAACTCTTTCCTCAATAAATTCAATTTTCAACAATAAAAGGCCAACATTCTTTTTTTTATCCGAGTCAAGAAAATAAAGTACTAAGTTTTTTTCAAGTCTTAAATTGGCAGAAGTTGCATAAATGTAAATTATGAATGCTACTGCAAAAGAAAGGTAGTCAAGTAAATTAAGCTACTGCAGTCATTCTATTAGGTAAAGACAGCACTTTAGTATCAACAGATGTTTCTGGCTTTATGGGACAGGATCTATACTGAGGAACTCTGTCACTGAGAACTACAGATATAGTGCTAGCTAGTTCAGGGGTTGCCGAGTTTGTGTTCATTTCAGCTGGCAGTACAGTACCGTTAGAAGTAGAATCTGTTAGCAGCGGTTTGTGTACATCATGACTTGAGCCCTGATGTCTAGACTTGTTATGTTGATTCTGGTTCTTATAGCCATCGTGGAGACGTCCCTTTCGGCTCCTGTTTCTACAATCATCTGATTTTCCAGGAGGCTGATTTTCATTGAGCCTGAGGCCTTGCGCTCGGGAATTGAATCCTCGTCTTTGACCAGACGGGCCATAACGTTGGTAGTTCTACAAGAAAGGATGCAATAGGTAAAACAGGTATTTACCAGCAGCAGCAATCACTTGCCAATGAACATGATTGTCCACCTAGGAAATTCCATGTCATTTGTCATTAAAAAAACAAATACTATGCTTGATTTAAAATAAGAGCAGGGTTTTAATTTGCATGGCAAAGATGAAGGAGTAGAGGCATTTGGTTCCTAAAACATTGCAAAATGTAAAAAATGTGTCAGCTTTCCTTTTAACCTGCAAATGAACTATCATTTGTCATTGTGGAAGTTTTCCCAAGTACCCATGAAGTGTAATACGCTGGAGTTTTAAAATAACTTTTCCTACTTTCACAAAGCATCAGGCCCTCTATTTCTTCTCCGGTGGCTACATCCTGCTTATGAAATCTCATGGTTTAAAGATTAGTGAACAAGAGACCAGGATTCGGCCACTGCTATCGTTAACCTCGCTGAATGTCAGGACCAAATATGAAAAGTGCTGGAGAAATTCACCAGGACAAGCAGTTTCTGTACAGGGAGAAACAGAATTAATGTTTCCAGTCCAGTGAGCCTTCATCAGAACCTTAACTCCATTTCTCTCTCTACTGATGCTGCCAGAGCTGCGGAGTTTCTCCAGCACTTTCTGATTTTGATTCAGATTACCAGCGTCCACAGTTCTGTGTTTTATTTGGATGTCAGGACTATGGCAAGACCTTTGTATTATTCCTTTCTAATTAATATAATGACTGGAGTTGATGATTATAGAACCTTTTACTCACGTTCACCATTCACTGCTGCAGAGCAATTATAGAATTTGTATTATTATAATTTTTAATTAGAAAAAATAAAAATGTTTAGTGAAAAAGGAAGGCAAAAGCTTAGTATTCTGGGAAGGCGAGACCAAATGAGCTGAAGCACCACTTAATGTGAATCTGTCTGGATGGCATAAAATTATTTTTCTCTCATGGTCCTCACGTTAGAAAGGCTTATAAATTCAGATGTGTAAGAGTGCTCCCAATTGAAATAAATATTAGGCTGCTTGTGTTAGTAAATGACAGGCCCAACTTTGAACTCTCTTTGATGCTCGACTACAATATTGATTTGCTCTTAGGTTGCACTCAGGATAAACAAGTCTACATGCAGCCTGATTTAGCAAGAACTGCAGATGCTGAAGTCATGGACAACACAGTGTGGAGCTGGAGGAACACCCTGCTGTGTTCCTCCAGCTCCACACTGTGTTGAATCTGACTCCAGCATCTGCAGTTCTTGCTATCTCTGAGTGATTTATAACCCACTGCGAAGCCTCTTCCAAGGATGTCTACCTTGAAGAAGTTGTCCTCCTCCCTCTGGAAAGACCTCAGTGGATCTGTCTTCCACTGCAACCCTCTGGTAATCCCCTCTGCCCTGAAACTCTTCGACAACAGGCTTTATCAAGCCTGGTACGATGTTACCTGGCCTGCTGTGTTCCTCCAGCTCCACTCTGTGGCGTCTCTACTTGCGGCCTAATAGGCAGCCCCTCTGCTGCAAATAGAAATGAGGACTTTTTGAGAAATACTTACTTAAACCTAGAGAAGGAGTGTGGATGTCTTCCCCACAGGAATTATCGACGTGACTTTCTGACTTTGTTTTCATTTCCTGCCTGGCCTGTTTGCCCTTGCTTCCTGATCATAGGTTCCTTTTCATTTACCTGAGGTCCTGTGAGGCACAAGGCACTGCCTGATCTTCCGTTGTGCCATGTTTGGAAGGTGCCCAATAAGCTCGGATGCTGTGTGATTCAGTGAAAGCGAGACCCAAAACCAAGGGATCTTGGACAGTCACAATTCAGGTGCTGTGATAGATCCCTACAACACTAGCCCAAACTACCAGGCTAGTAATGATAGGTGCTCTCTGATCCAACAACACACTTCTTCCCCATTTCAGTATGATATGACTTAGGTTACCTGCATAATGTCCAAGTATCAACCTGTCAGTATTTGAGATGGCTAATTTAATGCTAAGCCATAAATGAGAGGAAGCTGTGATCCTAGGAAAAATATTTAATTGAATCAAACTAGTTACAAGATATCCTTTCAGCATTCTGACAGAAAGCTTTTGTCTCATCATCATGGGCTGGAATCAAATTCAATTTCTAAATGCTATTTGCATATTATTTGTACTTGAAAGTATGCTGGTGCTGCGTATTAACTGAGCATTCAGCCACTATAAGCCAAAACAGATGAAAACTAGTTGTTGAGTTATGAGGTGTATACTTGCAATGTATAACTCTGTAAATAAATGTAAAAGTGTGCAAGGACGGGCTCTGTTTCAATCCTTCATCAGCAAAGTCTAAGGGGTTGAAAACTACAGGCTGACATGCCAAATCAGCATGGCATCCATCATCTTTGAAGCCACTATTACAGCATTTCCACATCTGGTAGAAAAGAAAGACAGCAATAACAGCGTTAATGTGCCAATCTTACCGGTCTGTCTGCAGGTGCCTTCTGAATGCTAGAATTGTCCCTGGAATTCACTGCTTTAGAACTAACTGATGATAACGCAGCAAGCGAAGATGGTCCTGAAGTAACATTATTAGAACTGCCTTGAGGATTCAGATGAGTTGGACTCAATGAGGAGGTGCACTGTGGTCTCGTAGAGTAGTTATTCTTTGGATGTGATACTGCACAGAAAAAAGACGTTTGCAAAAAAATTGCTGTAATCATCAGTTTTTGAGCACGAATGACTTATCTCAAAAATCCCTTATAAGGTACCATTTGGTTGTTCAAAAATTGGAATTTGGTAACTTTGTTCAAATTGGATGAATATTTTCCAAGTTCAATTTTGAAGTAAAAGTCAGATTTACACCTGGAATAAATAGTTTTTGAGGAAGTTGAAGTCAAGTTTGGGCCGGCCCAGTTCCCAGGAGCCTCAGTGGCAGCTGGATTGGTGAGGTCTAGTGAGGACTCAATGGCAGGTGCATCGGTGGAGACATGTTGGCACTAAAGAGTGGCACCTCATGTTGCAGCGTGAAGTGAAGGGGACTTGTGGCAGGCCACCAGGCCCATGGCCCACGGCAGAGCGCTTCACAAGAAGGACTGTAAAGTTCTTTATTTTTCTGCCTTTGTGTTCGATGTTTATGTTTATTTTTCTGTGTTTCAAGATGGCGCTGGAGAGTGGCAACACCGTTCTATGCTTTTCACTGTATTTTGTAACAAAATACACGTGACAGGTGGATAGATAGTCTGAATAAAAAAGCCTGATGGTGCAGTTATCTACCAAATACATGAAATCCCTTGCCTAAATGAGTAGCTCAACACCAGAACAGGATATGAAGCTAAAAAGTGACTTACAGCAGTTGAAGATGAGAAAGGAGTTTTTAAGCTGCACTATCAGTGTGAAGGAGACAAAGGCCAAGTGAGTATATCTGGGAATTTCGTTCAAAGTGGGAATTCAATGCTGAGGGTAAAGAGGTGCTCCAATGAAGTTTCATGCAAAGTTAAACTCTCCAGATCTTGAGTGAGACCTGGAGTGATGTCACACACTATTATGTGATGTGATTGCAGGAAACACAATTGTGAGTAGGATTATTGACTATTTTCAGTCTTTAAATTGGATTGGCTTGTGGTCAGGTCTCTAAAGTTTTTTTTTTGTTAAGTATAAGATTGATATTAGTGCAACAAAATTACAATCACATTACATGGTGTTGCAGTGAGTGATTTTAACTTCCCCTATATTGACTGGGACTCACTTAGGGCCAGGGGCTTGGATGAGGGAAGAATTTGTAAGGCGTGTCCAGGACAGTTTTGTGAAGCAATATGTAAAAAGTCCAACTAGGGAAGGGGCTATACTCGACCCGGTGTTGGGGAATGAGCTCAGTCCGGTGAATGAAGTTTCAGTGGGGGAGCATTTCGAGAACAGTGACCATGATTCCGTAAGTGTTAAGTTACTTATGGATAAGGATACAAGTAGTCCTCGGGTGAAAGGACTAAACTGGGGGAAGGCTAACTCCCAAAATATTGGGCAGGAATTGGGGAATGTAGATTGGGGATGGCTGTTCGAGACTAAATCCTGTTTGTCACATGGGAATGTTTTAAAGGCCAGTTGATCAGAGATCAGGACCAGCTTATTCCTGTGAAAATGAAGAATAAGGATGGTAAGGTTTGGGAACCTTGGACAACAAGAGGATTTGAGAGCTTGGTCAAAAAGAAAAAGGAAGCATATGTAAGGTTTAGGAAATTGAAGCACCCAGAGCCCTGGAAGAATAGTCAAAAAAAAGCAGGAAAGAACTTAAAGAATTAGGACTTAGGTGTTGAATTGGGGAGGCAAATTGATGGGCCAAATGGCCTACTTCTGTTCCTATCTTTTTCTCTACATGGACTTTAATAGATTAAAAATGCTACATAAGAGCAGTTTACCATTGTTCCTGCAACTGATCTGAAATAAGACACATCTCCATGGTAGTCCATTATTGCACACTAATTAAAGTACTGCAGAAATATACATAAGTTCCAATGCAGAAAATAGCCTAATTGATCAACCCAACCTAAATCAGCTTGACCCTTTCGTCGAACAAATGGACCTAATCACATTTATCCACCTTTCTCCCCCTCACCCCACACAGGTGAAAATTGCCAGCCCAGATATCTTGAAACTGTGTTGCACGTATTTTCAAAAAGGCCTCTGAGTCAGCTAGATTCCTTGAAAATCTTGCATGATAATCTTGTATCTATCCCTCAGTGTTGCATTGTTCAACTGATGCAGTCTGCCAGCTATTTTCTCCACACCATCTCTTCAATATTTAAATACTTAATTTATCTCACTTGGCGTTGACATGTGCGCTTTCTCATGGCAGGCAACATACAAGTGAATTTTTACTAGTTCTCAGCCATAAAATGCATCCCTTAGTAAAGCTGAAGTCATCACACTCCCAGAGGACCGTAGCACTGGTCTCTCCTTAGAGAGAGAGATGACTGGAGGTGGTTTAATCCAAGGTTTCCCACACCTCAGTCGAAGGATGAGGTTGAAAAGGAAGGACCTTCACAGTAACCTCAATAGCACACTATTCTGCTGAGGGCTTGTTAATTGTTTACAACAACAAAAACAAAGTTGCTGGAAAAGCTCAGCAGGTCTGGCAGCATCTGTGAAGGAGAAAACAGAGTTAACGTTTCGGGTCCGGTGACCCTTCCTCAGAACCCTTACGTTCTTTCATCTGCAGTTCTTTCGGTTTTTATTTTGTTAATTGTTTATGTTGTTTAACTATTACATATTGGCTTCGCAGTTTATAATTCTTGTAATAAAATCCAGAATTCCATTTGAGTTTACAGCCATATTAATCCAAGGTAATTTTATTAATGCCCCGTAAAACTCCACCCACTAAACCTCTCCATTGTTTCATAGCCAGGTTAATGACAATAGTCTGACTCATTCACAGGAAACATGTCATTTTCCACAATTCTTGCAATCAAATTGTCTTATCTGACCACAGATCATTTCCTTGCCTTCTCCAAACAGTTGAATCTGGGCTTGCAGACTGTCAATGTTACCAGTGAATCGCGCTGATCTCCCCAGGTCTTCGTCATATTTGCGTTCACTTACAAATTGCTGTTTGGAACACATAAAACTTCAGTTAAAATCCAGGCAGCGTCATTTGCAATGTTCAAAAGCAAAATTCAAAACACCTGAAAGGTTATCTTTTAAACAAACTTGACAACATCTTTTGCTCCCCTACAGCACTCCATTTTTCCCCAAACCAGTCTGACATCCTTACCCAGTCTGGCTTTTGTAGAATCCTCACAGTGTGGAAACAGGCCATTTGGCTCAACAAGTCCACTCCAACCCTCTGAAGAGCATCCCACCCTTCTACTCTATCCCTGTGACCCTGCATACCTAACCTACACATTCCTGAACACTATGGGTAATTTAACACAGTCAATCCACCTAACTTGCACATCTTTGCACTGTGGGAGGAAACCAGAGCACCCAGCAGAAACCCACACATACAGGGGAGAACGTACAGACTCCACACAGACAGTCACACGAGGCTGGAATCAAACCCGATCCCTGGCACTTTGAGGCAGCAGTGCTAACTACTGAGAAAACCATGCCACCCCCAAATTTATGTATAATATTAGCTCCAAACCAATGTGGCTAACTCTTAAAAGCACTTGTAAAAGTCTTACAATCCACTCAGTTTTACTAAAGACAGGTCAACTAGGGATTGATAAATTCCATCCTTGCCAGCAATGCCTTGGTCCCAAGAATTAAAAACAAATTCAAAGTGCCATATAATTCAGAGCTGTATAGCAGAAAGAACTGTGTTTAAAAGTTGCATTGTGCTAATATCACCTTGTGTCCATAATATCTGTACATTGATCTGTACAGCTTCTGGTGACTACACTGCAGTTTATATTATTTTTATTCTTTCATAGGATGTGAGGGCCATTGGAATGACCAGCATTTATGGCCCATCACTATTTGCTCTTGAGAAGGTGGTGGTAAGCTGCTTTGTGAAACCAACACAGTTCATGTTGAGAAGGCACACCCTCAGCACTGTTTTGAAGAGAATTCTATGACTTTGATGTAGCAACAATGACGTAATAGTGATATAATTCCATAACACTCCAATGCGGTGTGAAGTGGGGAGAAAATGGAAGTGATGGTATTCCCACGTGTCCGCTGCCCTTCTCCTCTTAGCAGTAGATATCAAGGTTTGGAAAGTACTGTTGAAGAAGCCTTCACATGTGCTGCCACAGTGTTTCATAGTTTTGAATGGTAAATTAAGGAATGCATATTCAGCATAATCTGGAATTAAGCACCAGTGTAACCATTGTTGATTTTTGAAGGAACAGAACATACCCAAGCATAGTCACAGAGGCTTCTGGGCAGACCGAGAGCAATTTAAATTGGAAAATGACCAGTTTTGCTAAACTGAGATATGTTTTGACAAAAATGGACTGGAAACAGCTACTTGCAGGTAAATCAGTGACGTACAATGAGAAATATTCTAAGAGGAGATAAAGAATATTCTGAACGAATATTTTCCCAAAAGAAAGAAAAGAGTAGAGCTTCCAAATCCAGTCCTGGATGTTCATGGGATGTGGGTGTCACTGACAAGATCAGCATTTGTTCCCCTTGGCGAACTGCCCTTGACAATCCAGTAGTGAGCTGCCTTCTCAAACTGCTGCAGTCCATGTGCTATGTGAGAGAATGTTCCAGAATTTGGACCCAATAATGATGTAGAAATGGAGATATAGTTGCAGATCAGGATGATGTGCCACTTGAGGGTAAGTTGCCTGTCATGGTGTTCCCAGGCATAAATTAATCAAGGGCTATCAAGAGGAATTTGTTGAGGGAAGGTCCTGTCTGATTAATTTGATTGAATATTTTGTGAAAATAACATGGAATGTTAAGGTAAAGCATTTGCTATGATCTGTATGTATTTTAACAAGGCATTTCACAAGGTTAACTTGAAAAACTCGACAGAAAGTGAAAAATTCATGGGAGAATGTCAAACTCAGAATTCTGACTGCACTCAGAATTGTTCCAGTTGACGAAAATAAAGGACTATTTGTGATTGGAAGGTTATTTTCAGTGAGGTTCCGCAGGGTTCAGTGTCTCTAACTATTTGTGACATTTATCAGTGACTGAGACTTAGATTTTAGGGGACATCATTAAGAATTTTGCAGATAATACTAAAATTGATTATGTAATTAACAGTGGGGAAACAAGTTTTAGACTTCAGGAAGGTGTCAGTTGCCTGGTCAAGTGAGCTGAATAGTGGCAAAAAGAATTCCTTCCAGAGATGTGCAAGATAATCCATTTGAAGATGCTAACTAAGCAAGAGAATGCACCATAAACAAGAGCCTATTGCAAAGAAATTGGGGAACAATCTATAAATCCTTGAAGGTAGTTGACTAAAACAAATGTGTGTTCGTTGCGGGTAGGGACAGGAGAATTTATAGTGGGGAGTAGAGGAGTGGCAGAGAAGCTAAATGATGACTTTGTGTCTATTTTCACTGAGGAAGATACCAGAAATCTTCCAGCACTAGAGTCATTTATGCTTATGTAAATCACTTGAGTTCTTCAATGATGGTTTCTAATGTTGTTCTACTGTAATCTTTGTTCAAAATCCTCCTTTTATTGAATATATGGAACAGAGACAGAGTTTGGGAACGTGCAAATAATCAGAGGCCACTGCTTCTTACAGCCTTGAAAAGAAAGCTCGTTTGGTGGGAAATAAATTGTCTCAAAATTGGTTGTGACCATGTATCAGCAAAAACAAATTCAAATAAGAGCTGAGTTGTCAACATCCGTGCAATAATTCATGCTGGAACACATGAACCATGGTTGGTTGTTGAGGGGGTGGGGCGGGTGATGGGATAGTGGCTGGTGGTGGTGATCAGAATTTAAAACAAGTGTAAAACAACAATTGAAACAGAGTCATTTTTCAACTTTACTTCCACAGTGGGTGATAATCCATGGAGCCCATTTTTAGCTTCAGACCCGACTTGAATTCCGCTGCTCAAGCCATGGGGCTGGTATAAAAGGTGTTCTACTGCAACTCACCTATTTCTGATGCTGAAACTTGACTGACCTTTACACAATTGGGCTGGAAGTTGAGGGATGGGAGTGAGATGGGAATGCACGTGGGAGGGAAAGATGCTGCTAGTTTACCAGGAAATGGTGTGGACAGAGGGGAGCGAAAGTTGTAAACAGTCCTGGAATAATATGTTTAGAATATGCCATTTTTAAAAATTCATTCAGGCGATGAGGGTGTCACTGGCTAGGCCAGTATTTATTGCCCATTCCTAATTGCCCAGAAACTAGTTAACAATCAACCACATTGCTGTGCGTCTGGGAATCACATGTTGTCCAGTCTAAGTAAGGACAGCAGTTTCCTTCCCTAAAGGACATTAATGAACCAGACAGGTTTTTCTAAACAATCGGCAATGGATTCATGGTCATCCTTAGACTCTTAATTCCACAATTTTATTGAATTCAAATTCCACCATCTGCCATTGGGGGATTTGAACCTGGACCCCCAGAATGTTACCTAAATCTCTGGATTAAGATTCCAGCAATAAAAGCATTAGGCCATGCTAGTGGATGCTTCACTATGCTGGTTAGGATGCTCAGTGTCCATCCATTGATGCATGAGGATTGCTGCTCAAGTCCTACAAACCCTATAACATCATGATTTTCATACTTCAGCAGTCTCATCTTTGAATTGTGCGGGAATGTTGGGCACTCATTTAAAAGCTTTAAACATAAAAGGAGTGTCTCAGGTACCACCCACATTCCATTAATCGGTCAATTATTTTCACGTGTGAAATTGGTGACCAACAGTTGGAAATTGCTCCCACCATTTCATTTCACCATTATCAAACAAACTGGGGCAGATTTATTGGGGCAGATTCCTGCATTCACTGTTTCTGCTGTGCATGCCGCACCCAAAATCCTAAATTAATTGGGCTGCATGCTAATTTGAGAATTGTCACCTTTAACAATGTAAACAGGGCTTTGTTTAAGAAAACAGATTAAGAAAGATGAGAAAATTCATTCATTTTTCCATACTGAGGCTATCAAATTTTGCACAAGCTACTGTCTCTACCCAGCATTCCTCTCAGGTTGAGGTCATTATCCTGTCCAGAGTTCCTCTGAACCTGACCTCTCTAGTTCCTGCACTGAAGTTTCCCAACAATATATCCTGATCTGTCAATCTTGCTCCTGACCATTTTCACTGCTGAAACATTTAGGGCAATGATACGGACAGATATGGAGAAACACCACATGACAGCTTGCCCTAAGAAGAACTGAAAAAAAATCCTGTCACTACCAAACATGCAGAATTTCTGATAAGTTTGAGGAGTAAACTGGGTCCTGCAATGGTAACAGCAATAACTTGCCCAGGAATTGTACATGCACACACAGATGTACAAAAGCGCAATCACATCAAAGCACTCAGCAATATCGCTGGGATGGGGGTGGGGATGGGGTTTGGGGAAGAAATCTATCGAGCAGAATAAAGTTTTCACTCATTGAAATGATGAATTTAACTACATTTCAGGAAAGCATGTGCTTATTGCCCATCTTTACAGAGCATCCTTCTGTCACTGACCTTAATCTCTGCTCTAAGTTCAGCAAGCTGGGTTTCTGACATCTGGATGGCCATATCTGTCAATCTCTTCAGCTCCTCAGCTCTCTTCTGTCTTGTATCCAGGATCTCCACTGTGAAACACAACACAACATTAATGCAAATCAGCATGGGCCCTTGAACTTTGAGCAGTATTTAATGTGGGGGACATGATTTACACTGTGTCTCTAGCACAAGCACCCAGCAAGTCAGTGTATTCTGCCGGGATTTCAGTTGAATCTATGTTCTTATTTGGACACAGGGGTCAGAATTCATGTCTGCCTTTGGCTGAGACGGTGGAAGTAGGCAGTGGGAAAATTTGTCAGTCACCTCATTGCCTGATTGCAGCATTGGATCAACGCTTCCATCGTAGGTTCATGACTTTCTTATTTCAACAGCCTCATGTTTGTTTTCTGCGTGATTGTTGGGCACCCGGTTAAAAACCTTGACCAAAGGAGTATCCAGCATTCAGCAGGTGATGAGCAGCGTATGTGAACCACTCGTGATGTAAAGAGCTTTCTATTTCTGAAGGCAGTCTATCCCTCTTGGAGGGAAGCTGCAGTGATGGACAGGATGCTGTTGCTGAATGCCATCGCTGCAGTTTTAAGCAAAAGAAATGGTATCCCAGAGCACAGAGAGGACTCCAGAGCCACAGATGTAGCATTGTCAGGTTTGAATGGAAGTGGAAGAATGAAGAGGTGCCACAGTTCTGTCGGGGACTAGGACTATTTGAAAAACCATCCTCAGGACAGATTTGAAGAAGGTGGCTAGGGAGCTCCGTTCACAAAATCTGGAACTTAAGACCTGGCACAAATGCTACTTACAGTTTAGTGATCTCAAACAGGTGGTTAAAGTCATCCTCAATTATCTTCTGCTCCCCCACATTCCTTATCCACCACATCCTTATCACTCAAACATAAGCAGTTCCAGCACTCACAACTCACAACTAAAAGATATTCCACATCACCATCACACAGTTTTAACATACCTCCTGCTATTCAGCTGTGGGAGGATCAGCATGCGCACACATAGCACAACACAAACAGTGACTTTGGATCTCTGTCCTGTGGGACATGGCTGCGCACAAATGTAATTCCCAATACCAATTGTAGCTTGTATGCACATTGATGACCAAGTCCTCTCCCCTTCCTATGAGGATGCAGCAACACTCTTTACCAAATCCAAGGACTCAGCATGACCCTTTCAAAATCTCCCATACCTTTTTGACCGAGCAAAGAACTGCACAGGCCATGCCACAAGCGGCTGGAGGCACAGTGTGCCTTACTAAGTAGGTGTTTGACTTCTGTCGTGTTGTCTTCAGTGACACAATAAATCTAAATTTCGTAACCCCATTCCTTTCAAAAGCAGACCGAAATTCCTGAACTGCAACAGAAATCAAGGATGACAAATCTCTTGAAAATGGTCTTAACTCTTTGATTTTATGATTTGACTAGAATGGCAAGGCTAATGGCTTTCACTATCATTTATGTATAAGTCAAGCAACAACTGCAGACAAGGAACTGATGTTCAGTCAAATGTCAATGTGCAAAGGTTTCTGTCCATGTTGTGCCACTCCACTCTTAGTTCTGATTTTCACCGTTTGCCTCCTTATTGGCATTGAATGTTAGGACATTATTGTAATTGCGCACTGGATATAAACAAAACCTTGTCACAGATATTTAGGGAGAGTAATGAGGAACACAAGTATCTTTTTAATAGTGTGATAATTCCTCATTATTGCCAATCAAACTCCCTGGCACTGAAAGTTAGTTATTTCATATGGGGCATCTGCTCCTCAGATGGTGTTCTTTTCATTGATGATCCAGATGCCTTGTTTCTGTCACTGCCTCATTACACGCACTTTCAGCTACTCTGTGCCCACAAATTATTTTAAGCTGAATCATGCAGGGCCAAATGCCAAATACTCCGCCATAGCAAATTTTGCCCACTATTATTACAAATGGTGCTTCTATTTCACTCTTTGCTGTTTGTAACATTGGCAAGGGAAGTTGATTATTAAGAGGAGTTTGAGTGGGGTTCAAATGTCCTAATAATCAATTATTAATAATCTAGAAGCAGTGGCTACACGCCTAGGTCAGAATCTGGAAATTCAGTAGCGAGTAATTCACTTCCCGACTGTTCCAAGCCTGTCTGCAATCTGCAAGCAAGGAGTTGATGTGTTATCTGGACAATTACAGCTCAAACAAGTCAACCTTCCTTCCACTCCAACTGAAGGTGTGGAGTATTTCCTGTCTCTATCGCCTCCTTTCTCACCCTACAATCTCCAAAATCAACCCTTTCCCCTGACAACACCTACAAAGTCTGCTACACATTTTGCACCCGCTCTAGATGATAATTTCCTGGAAATATTGATGGTGTGAAGTCTTGAAAAAATACCCTGAAAGGCTCCCAAGGTTCTCAAAGTTATTTTCAAAAACAGTCCACCTGCAGCAGTGAATAAAAAGTGACTGCTGAGCACGGCTTTAAGTAAGTGTGAGAAATTCTCAGCAATAATTTGTTTAGACTTGGTGAGCTGGTCACTAGTAGGTGAGGGTGTTAAGTGGAACAATCTCACCATAATGGTGCGCAGAATCTTTAACAAGCTTGAAGGGGGTAAATGTCTAAAGGGTGGAGGGGGTAGTCTCTTCATGGTGCAGGCTGTGTGGGTGCTGTTTGAGCTTACGCAAGTCAAGAGAGGGAATGAGTTGCAAAATTGTGGTGGAAGGTTGGGCCTGTTAAGAGCACATTTACAGTGCTTGTCATAGGAAAGCAGTACAGCACTTGACAATGAATGAGTCTTAACCCTCTTCCACTGGGGAAAGTGTTCTCTCCTCATTGAGGGTAGCAGATGGATGTTGGGTATCCCACCACCCATCTTGGCTCTCTCTGCGTTGTTGTGAGCTGTTTGCTCCTGGAACGCGATAAGGGCAGGGATAAAAGAGATGGAAGTGGTTGGCACAGCTGTTAGTGTTGCTACAAGTGGGGGATAAGTGGGAGGTTTCCTGAGTGAGGGTGTAGGAAGTGCAGAGGTTAGTATTCTGGTGGAATGTGCTGAGTGAGAATCATTGAAGCAAGATGCTGTGTGCAGTAGTGAGAGCAGCAAACCATGAGCCTTATTGGGAGGTGGGTGCAGAGGCAGAGTGAGAATAAGTGTCAGGTAGCAGAGAAAAGGTGACAACACTTATCCTTGCAAAATGCAGAAGGTCATTAGCTTTCTGCCTGCACTGCTGGCCATGGATAACACACTGTCCGCAGCTGGCAAGTTCCGATCAGGCTGGCAGGGTCTGGTGCTGTGGTCTCCTCCAGTTGTCCTGAGCAAAGACGATAACCCTGTTCTCCACTACCATGTCCACCAGAGCCTCCAGGTCCCTGCCTGCAAAACAGGTTGCCAATGCTCTTCTACTCACTATCTGCAGCGTAATTTCTCAGATACTGGAACTGGCAGCACCTGACCTGGTGCACAACCGAGGTTTAAATATGATGCTGGTGGCAGGAACACTGGAAGGACTTGCAACCGTGAGTAACAGATCGGGGCCTGGTGTATAATGAATGAGGTGAGAGGCAAAAAATTGCATGATAAAACTGGCTAGAGCTCATAGAGATAAACCCTTCAGGAATATCATTAAAACTAACCCTTCGCCAAACTTTTGGAAGATTCAGCCCCATTTTATAAGGTGCATCCCTTTAAAACGTGTTTAAAGTTACAGCAGGAATGTCTGCATTATTGTGGAATCAGTTCAAATGTCTATAAGGACCAGATGTGTCATGCATTAGCACTCAAACTACTACATCTGAGACACATTTACAATTCATAAATCAGTTACATCCACATGTCATCCACATTGCGGTTACTCGGTTCATATGAGGGCATATGAAAAGTCAAAAGTTGAAAATAAACCATTTGAACCCTTTGGAAGTTACCACTCCCCTCACCTCCCAGTTCTTTAACTCCTGATTGTGATATTTTAATTTGCATTGCTCAATGTTTTACCATCTTCACTTTGCTTAGGCAATTGCAAACATCAATCATTTTTGGTCAAAAAAAATTCTGCTATCTGTTCCTAAAATACATTTCAGTTATATCCATTGATGTCCTGTGCTCCTACTTTCACGGCACAACTTAAAGTTGAATCCACATATTGTAGTATTGCTTTGATTTCTGCCAACATGTGTTTCCTCATTAAATTGCACGATTTTCTGCCTTAAGAGAAATCTCAGTAGATGGTGAAACTAGCACGTTCCCAACAAACTGTAAAATAGTGAAGTACTGAGAGGGAAGAGAAAAAAAAGTTCTAGACTAATTGTCCAAACCTTCTGCTATAAAATACCGCAAAATGCTACAGAATACCACAACTGCTAAATCTCTACCACATTAAAAAAATTCCTAATAATACTGCCAAGTGGCATATGCAGTTCCACCTCATTTATCCACTCACAACCATGGCAAAGTAAGCTCTCATCTGGAGTTGAGCCTCTTAAGTGATTATGAAACAGCTTGTGTTACAATCAGGATAAGGGTTTTAATGCTATGGTTCTATGTTTGGTACTTGATTTTTTTGGTACTTAGTTACAGATGTTCCATATACTCCCTATTTCACACAAAGAAGCTTATTCTGTAGGACTAGAGAAAAAGAAAATTTGGATCATTCTATCTGTATTAGTTCTTCACTCCAAAATGAATTCTTCAAAACTTTTGCCTCCCAACAGCCCAGAATCTTCCTTACATTTCCCTTAAAACATGCGTCAAACACCCTCTGTGGCAAAGCAAGTGTAAAAATGATAATAGTTCACAAATACTATATTGACTGTAAAAGTGCTTTCTTATACTGAACAGCAGAATAGAAATATGATTTATTTCTTTTAATATATAGAGGAGTTTCTCTTGTGTTCTTACTGCCAATTTTAAACAGATCACACCCACATCACTGACTTCCAAAGCAGACAAACAGCTTTCCATTATCAGTCTACCAAAATTCTCCTTTATTTCAAAAAAATCTCAATTTAATCTTTGCTTCATTGTAAAACATCTTAAGACCTGATTTTTATCTTCAACATAGATAGCTGCAGCATGGAAATTTTGTGCTTCAGTAGTCAG